ATCACCACACCGGCAGCAGCAGCAGACTCCACAGTCATTTCCACAGCATTAAAGCTGCAACGTTTGATACGTCGTATTGATCCATTTCTCACACTAAATCATCCATGATTTAATTAAAACACATTTGAAATGACTACTGTAAAGAAACGAAGCACTAATGGAGCTGAACAAGCACCATCACACGATCTCTTACTTTCATTCTTCAGTGGAAACTGAGTGAGATTTAAAGCAGAATTTTCCTCTTTTATAGCACAAAACAGATGGAGGAGCTCAGATTTAATGATGCAAATTCTAGAGGTATAAAATGATATTCACACTGGAAGAGGAACAAATTCTGCAGCAAAGACAAAAAGGTTGAAAACGTTGCCGGTTGATGAGCATTTAGAGAAAAGACAAAAAGATAAAGGCTTAAAATTACAGACCTGGACTACAGGCAGTACTTTAAAAATCAGAATTATGATCAGTAAAAATGAACTTTGTGTAGTCCACACTTGTGATACAAGAGCAAACAGGAGAAGAGTAACGTTTCTGATGCAGGAGTTCAGTGAAAAGTTCCTTTTTAAATAAACATCTGTTTGAAAATTAAAGGGAACTGAAGGTTTTTATGGTCCATATTATAACTGCTAAATAATCTGAGAATTTGAGGCTTCCAAATATTAAAAAAAAAATCTAAATGGTAACATTATATTAAAAATACTGTTCACATATGCATTTTTAATGAAATATTTTATATATAAGATAAAATATTTTTGTTCATTTAGTTTAAAAAATCTGTATAAAGTTTATCATCTCGGAAAACTGCTAATAACCACTTAAAATCTCAACGTACACAATAAAAATCTTTATTTTTTACATTTTAGTCTGTATAGTGTTGTCATGACAACAAAAAATGCCAATACTTTATTTACCAGTATTTATTACTGTTATCATGTTTTGGTCTTCAGAAGCAAATATGAGAAATCGATCAGTGTTCTATTATTTCTACTTAATAGAAGAATAAATTGTAAAAAACTGGAAAGCATTTGTCATATTAGGTATTTTTCTTTATGATTTGGTAAAACTGGAAATAATCCCTTTCAATAAAATGGGATGTGGTGTTACCCGCACATCATTTCTATCACTTGAAACAGAGCAAGAAGGGATTTAATCTAATTTCATATTCTCAAGATTAAATTTTTAAAAGATACAGTAACAAAACAACAAACAAAAATAACAACAACAAAAAAACAACCAATGAAGTACATTCACATAAGGTCTGAACTGGTTCTTTGAGCCCTCCATTGTGAAGTGTCTCTGCTGCCACTGCTTCCATCAGCTGGTCGTGACTTCTTGCATCTAAACGGCGTGTTCTGACAGCCACACCTCTCGACGCCTCCTTGGTAATTCAGTCAGCCTAACAGTCAAATCCGGTGAAATATGAGCCGTAATGGAGGGCCGGTAGCAACTGAGTATCAAATGTCTTGATCTAACTGGGGGCCCAAAATGGCCGCTGTTGCCTGGCGCCTTTTGGCTCTCAGGGCTTCGTCTGACTCGATCTAAAGAGGGCGTTCACAGCTTGGGTGTGGCTTATGTCTCTTGTTAGAAACTTCTTTTTCTAGGTTGTTGTTATAGATTTGATGTTTGTTTTATATCGAGTGCAAGAGCAGATTTTAGTAGTTTTTTCCCCCAGGAGATTCATACTGTGGATGTTGATGTAAAAGTAAAAAAAAAACACTTTTATTCTAAGTTTACCTTGTGTAGACTGCAGCTTGATTGGATTGACGAGTTTTAACAGGTATAAAAACCAAAGGAAATACTGTTGCTGAGATGCCTGAAACTCCTCGTTTGTCATCCAGGATTGTCTTCTGTTACCCGTCTATATCACCAACACTTTTGGAAAATCCCTCCATGGCTAGCAGTTTAGTAAGTGCTGATAATCAAATTAGTAAGTAAAAGGAAAAAACAGCGGCCGACAGCGCTGTAAACAACAGTAGACTGGTGCGTAACAAGCAAGCGAATAATGCAGAAAACAGATTTTTAGAAGGGAAACTGTTCTTTAAATACAGAGAGAGAGAGCTGTGCATGAAGTGTGATTTTATTGTGGTGGAAGCAAAACAGCAAAAGTCAGAGTGAATTCATGACGATGTTTATGTGAAGCGTAGTTTGGATCTTCTTTTGCTGCTGGTTCAGTCAATATTGTTTGGAGAGAGATCAAACCTGCAGCTTCAGAATCAGAGCAAAAAGGACGTAAACACAAAATCAGTGTTTTGCCGAAACATCAGAATCAGCGAGCTGTCGGCTTTCAGCCCCGACCGTGTCCCCGTACGAGCCGTCGGGTGAGAAAGGCGACATCTCACTGCTTCTGATCCGTCGGCAGGTCAGCGCTTTGTGTTTACGTCTTTGTGCAGAATCCGTGTTCCTGCTCTCATTCACTGTTTTAGCTGTTTGGTGGATGTTGAAATTTTGTGAGGTTTAACCTGAGATTCTGGACTTTCGGGCAAAATAAATTCATATTAAAAAATCGATTCAGGATTTTAATGAATCGATATCACGTTATCCAAGCTACAATCGATTTTAATCGATAAATCGATAATCAAAACCCACCTCTAAATCAAATACACTGCAAAGTTTTGGCAGTTTCCGGGTCTGGAGTGTTCAGGTGTATGTTAACACAACCTGACCACAAAGTTTTGCAAAGCTGGATTTGAACAAACCAAAAATCTTTTGAATAATCTCCTTTGGATAGATGACACCAAAGTGGAGATGTTAAGCTATAATAGACAGCACTTCATTTGGAGAAAACCTAATGCAGCATCTTTGTACAAACACCAACTCTAAAGCATGGTAGTGGAGGCGTGATGATCTGGAGACATTGCAGTCGTTGGGTCAACTATCAAGTCTTCTGTATACCAAAGCATTCTAGAGTCAATTGTGAAGCCGTCTATTTGATGCCTAAGGCTTGACTAAAACTGGTACCTCGTTCCAAGCATGGCATCTACAACAGAATGGCTGAAAAAGAAAATAATCAAGGTGGTGCAATGACCCAATGAAAGCCCAGTATGGGCAGAAATCTGTGCCATCAGAAACTGAATTTGAATAAGTTAGATTTGAATTTGAATTGCTCGGATTGAATCTGAATGGTAACTTGAATAAATACTTTTAAAAACTGAATTTGAATTAACCTAATTTGAAATTCAATTTATTGGTTTGAAAATGATCATCACTAAATTGAAATTGAATTTTATATTTTGAAAATGAATTAATTTGCTTTGAAACTCTATTTTATCCTTTAAAAAATTTAGCTCTCGAATAATTTCAGATTTACTTCTCACCATTCAGTTTCAGTTCGACTAACTAATTTCAGTTAGACTAACTATTCACTTGAGCTAAAGTTATTAAGTTAGCTAAAGAGTTGGGATGCTGTGTAAGACATAAATAAAGCTAAAACACAAAGGTTTGGGCAGTTTTGCATGTTTCCCTACTGTAGGGGTCTCTGCAAGCATACAGAGGGGGTACTCTGAGAGGGTCCAAGATGACAACTTTGGAATTCTACTAGAAACGGTCGATCATAATTCAGGGCAAACTACGCTAAATTAGCGTTTTCAGCTAACAGCTACAATAAGCATAAAAGTTACCTTACGGCTATCATTTGTTAACATGACGCTTGTTCTTATACATGTAATACATTTATTACCAACCTGAGAGTTTATCCGCTGGTCATTCGACATGACGAATGACTTCTGAAGTCTTAATTCAGCTCAAGACGCTGTAGATTCCCGTCAGTAACACTTTCGGTCCGCTAGTAAAATGCAGTTCTATTAATCTGCGCTTGAACCGGAACCGGATGTAAGTCCCAAAAAACTGAATTGTAGAACTGAAACTGAATTGTAGAACTGAAACTGAATGGTGAGAAGTGAAACTGAAATTATTCGAGAGCTAAATCTTTAAAGGATAAAATACGGTTTCCAAGCAAATTAATTCATTTTCAAAATATAAAATTCAATTTCAATTTAGTGATGATCATTTTCAAACCAATAAATTGAATTTCAAATTAGGCTAATTCAAATTCAGTTTTCAAAAGCATTTATTCAAGTTACAATTCAGATTCAATCCGAGCAATTCCAATTAAATTTCTGATGGCACAGATTTCTGCCCATAGTCCAGACCTCAACCTGGCTTAAATGCTCAGACAGATCATCAAAGGTCAAAGTAATGGCCACAAACCTTAATGAGCTACATCAGTGTTGTGAAGAAGACTGGGTCAGAATTCCTCCACCATTTGATAAACTGATAAAGTCATACAGAAACAATTGCTTAACATTATTGCTGCTAAAGATGGTTCTACAAGCTTCTGAATAGTTGTGTGGTGTTCTTGGTTTTCCACCAGTCTACATAGAGTCCTGGAAAAATGTTTTTATATGGCTGTATCAATTTAAAGAAATTGTAGTCAGTGCTAACTGTAGCCAGTTGTATTGTAGTCAAGTCATGTCAGTGCAAGTCATGACACTGAGTTGCATAATTCTTTTGGGTGTTTTTTTTTTTTTTTTTGAAACTGCTAGAAAATGTTGATCAATGAATATCTGATCTTTTAAGCTATAACTCTGAGCTGAATTTTAGCTTAAAATGTAGGTAATTTGTTTTGTTTTTTAAGAGCAGGTAAACTTAATAGGTAATAATAACAGTTTTTCACAACTGTTTGGATGTAGTGTGGATCATTTAGGACTGGCTTATGATTAAAAAAAAGTTTTAAAAAAAGTAACGGTTAAACACAGAATAATGTGATGTTTAGAAAATTCATAACCAAAACGTAAACTTCCTGTATACTTGACTTTTTTAAAATACTTTTTGAAAATTTTCCTTTACAGGTGTGCAACAGTGCACCTTGACTGCATGACCTGTAGGGCTCACATATTCCAAATAAGTCAATTTTGGGTGGTTTAAAGTCACGGCAGTATTTTCAGACTTTGTTGTGTTTCTCTTCCTTTGTTGTTTGTTGACAACCATCACACTGCCCCCTACAGGCTGTTAACAGAGTTTATCAAAGTAGGGAACCTGCAGGCGCTGAGAACCTTTAGAGTGCTGAGAGCCCTGAAAACTATCTCGGTCATCCCAGGTAAGGGCTCACCACCACCACCACCACCAGGGGGCGACAAGAGACATAAAACAAACAAACTAGGAGACAATCGTAATCGCGTTGTGAACGTCCTCTCTTGTTCGTCCCATGTCTGCCATGTCTTGCAGCTCCAGACCCCACCCACTTCCCACTCCTTGCCCAATCGGGGACCATAGGTCCAATCACCTGATCTGCATTAAAGGAACAATAAAGAAGGAAAAATCAGATATGTCTAAAAGTTTGTTAACAGGAGAATCGATGGCAACAAAATGCCTTCAAGTTGGGATATTTGCTAAAAAAAATCTGACGCACTAAACTGGTTAATTCAGTGTCCATTCCAGAGCCAAACACAAACAAAAGCATTTCTCATGATGAACTCTTAAAAACATGTCCTGTTTGCTGGATTTCTGTCTTTTTTGGCACAAAACTGAACATTTGATGTTTGAAGTTAGACAAAAGCAACCCAAAGGCATTTTTTTTGGTCCTGGTATCTGATGTTGAAAACACCACTCTGACATTTAAAATGTAACTATTTATCAGTTAAAGTTTACTATGTGGATACCCAAAAATACTATGTAAAAAAAAAAAAAAACCTTACAGGCATTAAAATATTAAAGTGCTTGACTGAGTTGCCTTTTCTCCAGTTTACATCCAAATCCATAGCTTTGAATACCTGATTTCCCCTTCTTAACAGTCGAGTCTCTGGCTTGACCCTCCAGTGTTGCCATCCGACCTGGCCTGTCTCTACTGTATCTATTTCTGTCTCTCGCTGTATCTCCACCTTTCTATCCCTCTGTGCTGGCTTGCTTTTCAGTGTGGTCATACCCTTCTGTGTGTGTCTGTTTTTGTGCTTTTGTCTCCCGGCTTGTTGCAGATATGTGACTGAGTTTGTGGACCTGGGTAATGTGTCAGCCTTAAGGACGTTCAGGGTGCTGCGAGCGCTCAAAACCATCTCTGTCATCCCAGGTGAGACCACGAATGCAGGGGAGTGAATACCAAACGCACTCCTCCCAATCTGCTGGAAGCACTAAGTGGCTGTGTTTGAAATCTCATCCCGCATACTACCTACTGATAGCTCTCTACTTCATAACAACCACTTTAACAAAGTAAACAGAGGTAGTATGCAGGAGGAAGCACCAAGGTTTTTATGGTAATTGGTTGTGAGTGGAAAACAGAGGCTTAGCAAACAGAAACAGCTCTTGGCCATGAGTCAAGTAATGGCACAGGAGAAAGGACTTCCAATATTTAATGCTTCACCATACAAATCAGCATAAATTCATACTTAGCTTTAGAAAACACAACTATTGTCTACAAGGTGTGATCACGAACTTTTACAAGACTCAAAAGACCCTACCTGATTTAAATTTGGTTGAGCGTACCTTCAAGGCCATACCCTTGTGCACCTCTGGACTTCCACCAGCTGTTATCCAAATTAGCATTCCCCAGAAGACCACAGCTCCCTGAAACTTTGTCCTCTTCCCATAAACCAATTCAGATTGTAGGGCAGTAGACATGCTGGGAGTGGTCCAGAGTCACACTAAGGGACTACCTGAAAAAGGTTAAAGGTCTAATTTAAATCAGTTGTGATTTTTGAAAGTTCATTTTTTCCATAAAGTTGCAAAACTTTATGATTGTACCTCGTAGAAGTACACTAAATGCTTGCTCAGTAACATCATGTCAGTGCTAAATCCTGCAATAAATGTAGGATAATAATCCTACATGCACATAAGTTAATAAACTAAAATGGAAGATATGTCATCATGTGAGCAACTGGGATAATATTCTGATCCTGTGATAAGGAGGATAGAGTGTAAGTAATTCTTTTTCCACTGCAGAAATTTGAATAACACACAAAGTGGGACAAACAGATACAGAACTGACCACCTGGTGTGTCCCTTCACCCCCTCTGTTGCTTTTGCTGTGGAAAATTCACCAGATTCACTACTTGATGGGGTCTTGTGGCCATAAAATTTCCAGGGGGATTATTTGTGTTCCTGGACAAAAGCGTTTGTCTGTCCAGCCTCAAACCTAAAAATTTGTTCCTGTACACAAAATAACACTTTTAAAGGACAAAATAAATCTGGAGAGGTTGGTGGTCGAGTGAGTTATTTCTCTGTTGATATCAGAGATCTAAGTTGAACTCAAGAATCTGACAGAAGTTTTAGTGATTACTAATTATCATTAAAACAAAGTTGGGATTATATATTGAAATGCCTTGGTTAGGTTTAAGTTGATCAAAAGTTTGCCATAAGTTGTTGCTATAACTACAGATCTCTGAAACTGAATGCCACTATTGTTGTGGTGCATGTGCAAGCACCTTCTTTGAGAGAAGATTGCTGCTTAAAAAGGCCATTGAGAGGGCAGGTGTACTCTTTGAGTTCAGCCAATCAGCACTGAGACCCATCCAACTGTTTTTCCAGGGGTTTTCAGAAGTACCCACGCTGAAGAACATATTTGCTCACCTGCTGGTTTCTGCAGTGGAAAACAAACCTGCTAATTAAGCTTTTTACGCTATTCCAGTAAATATGACCTATCTGTAAAGACCAAATCTTTTTTAGTGAAAATGCTGACTATCCAAAAAAATGGCTACCCATTTTTTGATCAAGTTGCTTATGGAGTTTATGCTTGCCAGATACAGCTGACATAATCTCCCCTAACCTGTTCTGCTGTTTTTGTTTCAGCCTATGAAGGAAAAAGCAGCAGTCTGATATTAGGAAACACTGTATTAATAAGACAACGAGTTGTTTTATGTGTTAGGGACTTGCACTTTTTACTTTTGTTGGTCTAAAATTACACACAAAAAGCTTAAAATGAGTAGCCATGACACATAAAAGGTCGGGGAACATAGCAACATTCTTTGCTAATGCACTTAGGAGATATCTACGTCACTTAAACATTCCCAGCACACTTCAGGAGACACCAGTTTATGTCCACAAAGACACAAATTAATATGCAAACTGTGCAGTCGGTTATTCAGATGTCCTGCTGGCTAGCCTCTGTATGTTTCCACTGTGCATGTTAGCATGCAGTGCTAACAGCATTGTTAACATGTGATGAAAATATTCTCGTGCCATGTTAGTGGCTATGTTATAACAGTGTTTAATCACATGTTATAACTTTAGTAAAGTAATAGCACCATGACAGCATGTCAGAACTGCAGCTTAGCTTTATCTAATCCCACTTTTCATTAGTTTACAGACACCTCCATGTTAACAAACAAAAGCTATTCTGTGAGACAAAATCTTTGAATATAAAGTAAAAAAGTAATAGAAAACCTATTTGAGCTGTCTGTTTCTAATGAAAGAACTGAGTCAAAAAAGTGCTAAGAGGTGATTTAAAAATCTATAAGAAACTGGTGGTTTCTTTGGTAAGACTTGGCTGATAACAGTCGACTTGTCTGCACCCTTTGTGTGTTTTTGTTCCTGCTGTTTTTACCATGTGTTCATGTGTGTGTTAGTGTTGTTATCGTAGTATTAGATGGGGGAGTTTGTGGTCTGTTTTGCTGTATTTTGATGGTGATTATTAGCCTACAGTGACTTTTCTTCATCAGCTGCTCATGGGTGAAAACCTGACTGTTTCCCCCAAAATTTAACAATGATTGACTAAAACTTTTACAAAATATTTTAGATTATTGTCATCTGAAGGAATATTTTCAGGTTTTCACCTAACAGGAATGAAGTATTTGCATTTTTTATGCTTTCAGTTAATTGATTTATTTTTTCCACCTTCATGCATAAAGATGGCTGTCGTTTAGTTTTACTTTTGTACCTTGCCTATGCATAAAAACAAAAACAAAACAACCTTTACACTCCAAGTCACAATTGACAATAAGGAACTGTTTGGAGAAAATCCCCTCTTTGCAATTTTCAAAGAGCCATTAATCTCATATAGACTCATACCTTAGACGTATTTGGACCTCTGAGAGGTTGAAGTTAAATATTTGAAGGCATACTGCTTTGATCATGTCATTTAAGCTGGCTGCCATCTTCATCAAGTTAGCAGGTTTCAACATACCCGCCATTCATAGACCAGTTACACCAGTTCTCAAAGACTTATTCAAATATTAACCCTTTCTGCATCCCTGCGCCCGCGGCGGTCCCTCAGGACTGAAGACCATCGTTGGGGCTTTAATCCAGTCGGTGAAGAAGCTCGCTGACGTGATGATCCTCACGGTCTTCTGCCTCAGTGTCTTTGCACTTATTGGCCTGCAGCTCTTCATGGGAAATTTGCGGCAGAAGTGTGTGCGGAGCACGGCACACTGCTTCAATGACACCTTGCCAGCCAACACCTCCTTCTACTGCAACAACAAGACCTGGGCCTCAATCAAAGACTTCACCGAAGATGAAGGTGAGCATTTAATAAGTGAACGAACAAGTTGCTTGATTGATTTTCACATAAAGATGTTTAATTTAATTTGTTGCACTGGTGCAATTAGTTAGAAAATAGAAAGTTCATCTCTTGTGTCATTACTGAAGAAATTGATACTAGGGGGTAAAACGTGACGTGGAACCAACTTCTGACCATCTGGAGTCTGTATCACCCCAACCTTTGGGTTAGAGCTAAGACCTCTTGTTAATCAGGGCTTGTGTGGACATGGTGTCTTGGAGCTTTAGATGAGACTGAAAAAGTTTCTTCAGAAAGCTTTTGATGGATATCTGTTGTGAAAGATTGAAGGAACTCTGTGTCTGGTTGTCCATTGGTCTCCCTTGGATTGTGTCTTAATTATGCATATTGGGTTTGGGTTTAAAATAACATATTTGGATGACTGCATCCAGCTTCCCTTTGTGCTCAACAGATCAGACCACGAACCTTTAACTCTTTATAGCTTGTGGCATTTTTCTTTTTATTCTGAAACCGGTTAAAGCTGTTTCTGTTTCTGCCCGTAAATTGTAATATACTGATGGGAGCCTTGTTCAGTTGTACCAGGCATCTATACATTCTGAATGTTTTACTTGGGAAACAGCATTGGTATATTTTTACCTATGATGTCATACTAAATACAGTCCAGTTTACCTGTGTGCCTTTCTCTGTCTCAGCTTCAATGCTTACTACATAAACACCTCCAAATACGCTTTTTACAATTTCCGGCGTTTAGACAGATCCTGAATATGGAATATTATTTAGAAATATTTAAAGTTAAATACACTTTATACCTCATTGAATTTGAAGCCTTAAACATAACGTTGGCTTCCACTAAGGTTTTTGTTGTATTGTCTAAATTTGTTAATTAGTATATGCCATATTTTACTTTGCATTTGTTTCACTTTTTATATGCTTGTATGTTTTATATGCTTGTTATCTAAACACTCTAACTAAACACGTAAGAGAGCTATACATACCAGTGGCTGTTACCAGTACTACACCCCAACCAAGTTTTGTTTATATTAAGGAATATTACCTCATTGAGGGTCTATGAACTCTATGGTCAGAAAGGGTTTCCGTGTTAAACGATTTGAACGTATCAGTACTTTTGGATTCTCTGTGAGTGAAAATGGAAATGTCAACTTGTCAACTCCATCTTTGAAGATCAGTCTGTATGACTTAAGAATGCAGTGCTCGGTCAGGGTGGGCTCCTTTTGTTCCAGTAATCTAACTTTGTTAGAGCTAGAACAATGTTTCAAAAGTGGAAAATGGATAAAGCCACCATAATGTTACGCACTGGTGAGTGCAGTCCAATTTGGACTCACCATCTTGGTGTTTTGAGCCCAGATGTAATGATCCAGGGGTGGATATGCCTGTTAAAACCACATTGTCATTGGCTCAGGACTTTTGATTGACAACATCGCTTGGATAAACCTCCTCTCTGATACAAAATCGAGTTTATATTTTATTCAATATGATCCAAAATGAATAACTGAGACCATAAACTCAACTTTTTGGAAAAACAGGTATTGTCACCTGGTAGCAGTAGTTAGCTTCACTTCTTAAATCCAGAAGCTACGTCTGCAGTCTATACCATCTACTGTACTGTGCAGAAAATGTCCAATGCACTTCAGGAAGTGTGGGGTTTTTCCAGGGAAGCACAGGAGCAGCCCGTCTCTGAGCTGGTGGACCTCATTTAGAAACATCATTAGAATTCATCTCAAGTTTTAAATGAATTGAGAAGAAATCAAATTTGTCCATGCTTTGTACATGATAGCCCCACAGCTCACCCAGTGTCCTCTACACACCACAAATTCTTCATCTTGTGGCGAGATTTTTACATTCCTGCTTTATTAACTTGCTGCCATGCAATAATATTTTTTCCATGTCACCACGGGGGCTCTGTACCATTTGCATATAAATAGATAAACATTTCTGTGGCCTGCTGGGGACACCACAGGGGGCTCAAGAGTTTTAAATCCTGGTATCTGTGGTTTACTGCAAAAAAAAAATTGCAATAAATAAATAAATAAAAGGACATTGCAAACACCAAAATCACTTGTTGGCTGGAAGATGAGACGGTCACCTGCTTGTAGTATGTTCTGGAGAGAGGGGTGGTGTAAGCGTGTGTCATGCTGCCGTGGCGACTGCTGTTTCTTAACGGGACTGGACAATGTCATGTTGCTGCTGTAGTTACAACTGACGTCAGTGAAGAGACACACAGACCATCATGGATGTGTTCAGCCCGTCCGACTGGGCACTTTACACACACAGAGAGGGCATGTGCCAGTCATGTCATAACACACATTGTGTGGACTTCCATACATCACACGCAGCCACAAAACCCACACAGAGACAAGCTGAGGGCTCAAATTGTGGTCATAAATATTTTGTACTTGTTAATCAGTCTTGTATGTGTAAAAAGACTTTTTACACATACAAGACTAAGAAGAATTTTGACCCTATTTTTCTTCCTTTCATCTGATTGGCCAATGTCATGTCAATCACAAGTTTAACAATCCAATCAGAGAACAGCTGGGTTTGGCTGTTGGAGGGGTGCAGTATGGAGCTTCAGGTCCTTGAAGGGAATAAATGCTCTTTTACATGCCAGCCCAGAGTTTTCCTTCATCACCATGAAGGAAAACAGTCTGTGGTTTGTCCGAGTTTGGTGATTTTTGTGTCACAGGTTTACCTGCTTAATACAGGGACCTCCAGCGCCTTTTCAACAGCGCTGTGGACCTCGGGGGTGAGGGCGGGCAGTGTTGTGGGAATGACACAGTCTTCACTAGTGGGGATAGTTACAAAGCTTTCTTTGTGATGAATTAGCAAAACATGTTTTTCTTGAATATTTGAAGATAAAAAAACAGAAACTCTTGTAGAGGACATAGAGCCCGATGTGAAAGGACTTTTTTGCTGCACACTGTGAGCCACAGCCCTGACTTTGTGTTAAACTAATCCTAAAGTAATAATGGTATTTCTAACCACTGATATAGCACAACTTTATCCTTTCAACAGCCGCTGAAAGTTAGGGGACCTAGCTGCTATTGGATATTTATATAGAGATCCTCCAGCTTCAAACTGTATCACCCTTCAAGGACCTGCAGTTCAAAAAAAGTGCCCCGCCGACAGTGAAACCCATCTGTTCTCTGATTGGATAAATTTGTGATTGACATGACATTGACCAATCAGATGAAAGGAAGAAGACTAGGGTCAAAATTCGTACTTGTAACTTGAAACTTGAGTGCAGAGTTTCACACGTATTTTTTGGCTAAGTCCACACACAAATTCTTTTTACACACACAAAACTGATTTACAAGTACAAAATATTTATGACCACAATTTGAGCCGATACGAAACACTTAACCTGAGCTGCACGCTGTCTTTGCTGCTCAGTGAGACCAAAATACACCAACGTACACAAAATATGTAATTAGCCACTGTGCAGCTACAACCGCCTGTGTCACGATGCACCTGTCAGTCAAAGAAGCCATGCCCCTAAAAATCCACTGTTATGCATTAATAAGTTTAATGCAAGTAAACCAAACTATGTGTTTAAATGTAACTGGCACATGGTGTGCTTTACTTTCAGCTTAACAGAAATTATTTTAAACCAGATTTAATGATTTCAAATTAATCATTTTTCATTAGAAATCAAACATCTGTCTAATTGTTTTCGTTTTAGACTCAGTTCTTCCTCAGCAGATATGCTTTTTTTAGATCAGCCACACAGTTCTGACGTCTGTAGTAATGAAATGTCATTTATACAATTTAAAAAAAAAAAATCTAAATTACTCACAGTTAAAAAGGGCATCTGGGTGTGGCTCCTGCTTTCATACCTACCTACAGTTTAATGTTCACATAAAAAACATGGACAGACACGCCAGCCAGTGAGGCCTTATGTAAACGCTCTAGGCTTTCTTTAAAGATGCAAAGCTATTTTTAATGCAATGCATTAATTGCATTTCCTTTTACTTTCTTCTACATGAGCCAGCATAAAGAGCAAAACTGCCAAAATCAAGTCAACTTTTAGCCTGTTTGTCAGGACGGTGCTGCCTATCTCTAATGTGCTGCCTATTTATTCATTTCCAGTCTGCTTTGCCATCCATCACGTCAAACAAATGTCCCCTACAGGCTCCCATATCGACCTCTAAAAGCGGCTGTGAAACCCGAGAGCCGAGGCAGCGGCGATAAAGCTCAGCACGTTCAGCTGATCTGAAAACAGCCCTTGGTGGGAGATCAATGGCGGATGGTCTCGGTGCTAAATATTTCCCATTAAGCTTTGTTTGTTCTGTCTGGTCAGAGCTGTCTGACGGCAGCAGACGTCCCCGGTGCTTCAATAAATTCATTTCAACTGGCATCATGTAAGATCTATTTCACTGCTGCTTCATACAGGAAGCATAACATCTCCATGTGGTGTTAAAATTGACATCTGAAGACCCTGTGTATTTCACTTATTCTCAGCCCTGCTGACTAGTACATCCACCCTAATAAGTCTGCTTACACCATCCTATCAGCAGCAGCTCCAACCTCATGATGTGGACGTTGTAGGTGTTTTAGTCTCATTATCTCCTGACATCAACTAATTACTTTAAGGCCTTTTTTAAAATGTGCATTTAATAAATTTTGTTAAAATTCATCAAACGGGCAGAAATGAGAGAAAAATGGAAAGATGTCCCTTAATCGGAGAACACATTCATGGCTTTCACAACAAATGGAATAATTGCAATCGAGCGCATAGGCAAACCCATGTGTTTTTCACAAGCTTGTCCAAAACTTTTATATGATATATAGTTTAGTAATGAGTCTGTGTCTTATTTATGTCAGAGGTCTGGCACTTTTGTTGAACTGGAAACGTTGAGATCGCTAAGAAAGTTTACTTTCATAAGCGTTTTGGAGAGCAATGAGTCATCAATCCAAATTTCATTTGCAAGAAAAAGAAAGGTTAAAAAAGGTTAAAAAGAACAAAATAATAGGTTATTTCTTTG